TCGGTTCGCCAGAAATGCGACGAACTGTCTCTATTTGGGTAAATTTTAATAAAATCACACACATTCAAACAATTCGAATGGCCAAAAAACAAACTCCCAACCAAGGGCAATCTCTCTAGTAAACAGAATTAAGAAATAGGTCTGATTTGAATAGTACAAATTACGACATATTTTTCAAACTGTCAATTCCATGACGCTGTTTATGTGGAATCATCTTTCTTCCTAACTTTGTGATCTTTTTTCGGGGACAAAACTACACAAAAAGAAAGAAAAGGTAACAGAATTTTAATTGTCCCAGTTTGAACTAGAGATCCCTCCAGTCAACATCCTCACCTTGTATTCGAAACTAGAATCAGCTTCTTCCATTTATGTAATCATACTGTATATACATATCTTACAAAACTGTACTTAATTTAAACTGATTAACCCTTTGACGATCCCAATAAAGACTAACGTTCTTTAATTGAATTTCTGATCAACATGTTCTCTCAGTTTATCGAGCATTTTATCTCTTTATGATAGCAAGGAATAAATGAGCATATCATGCTTACAATAAATAGCAGGTTTTCTTCTATATGTTAACCAACAAATCTCCTCAGTTCAAACATTGTTTATAGCTTTGTATTGCAACACTTGCAGTGAGAGAGCTAATATTTTCCTAGCAACACAGTAGAATTCATTTCCTCTCATTCCATCAATCACCTTGTTTTTCAAACAATACCAAAATAATTATCTAAGGCACAGAAAACAGTATTCGTCTACCACTTCAAGGCTGACGGGGGTTTATTAAAATCCTGCAACAATGTTATTCAAAATGTCCAAATATGACTTTCTATCGTTAACTGAAGAAAAAAGCAGTTTTGATTGTGAAAACAAACACTCGGTTTATGCGAGACTGTTTTGCCTAACGAAGAGCATTCGACTAGAGATAAAAGCTACGGATGCTTAATTGAGTGGCAGAAAGCAGTTAGATATAATTTGGTGCCACTTCAAATAAAAGTAAATTTAAGTCCGTACTGTGTTAGTTGTAAATGAGAAGAGCGGTGTTGGGGATATCGGAGATCTCAGCTTCAAGAGAAACACTCCACAATAAAAAAAGCAGAGTTTCATTTCGTTCTTATCGGTAATCGATACAATCATCGCCATATTTGTCATCGAAACCCTTAATCACATGCTCACATGGAACCATATTCCCGCTGAGAAAGCAAAGAAAAATTTCAAAAAATATTTTCCGTTCCTTTGACCCGACCCTCTTTCCGTTGTGAGACAAGGACGAGGGCCCATGGGCATCCTGGCAAGATAATATTGAAATATTTATGTAATCGAGCGCCGCGATTCATAGAACGTCCATGTGTCATAGAAAACAGAAATCATATAACAAAACGACGACAAATAAATGTTTACTTAAGACAAAATGACATGAGGGTAAGAGGTGGTCCAGTCAACGCACACGAAAACCTTCAAATCCAATTAAACCAAGCCTGTAAATAGCCTTGTCGAGATCTTCCGCCGACTTTAAACACTTCACTTCTAAATAAAATATGTTTCTTTTTGCTAAAAATCTAATGATTAAAACTTCAAAAAACGTTTACACTCTAAACTGATGAAAGATTGGCCAATGATGTTTAAAAAACGGATTATCGCCCTTTGTTATGTGTTCAATTCATCGCAGGTGTTGCGTTCGATGACCTCCAAATTGTAACATTTGAAAAAGAAAATAAGTTGAACTAGAAAACCCGAGTTTATCAATATATAAGAAGTTAAAATTTACATAAACAGTGGACAGCAATTTACGTGTAATCTGCGTAAATCGGCATCATTGACTTTATTCGTTTATTGTTGAAGAACACCTAAGAAAACCTTCTTATTCTATTCAATTGCTTATTTAGATCTATCTATGTCGCTAATGATTTGTATATGTTAAATTCCATAGCCCCATAATATACTTACACAGCGTAAAACCTCCCGCAACTTCACTTGAAAACCATCTTAAATCCTTCAGAACAAACTGACTACCTGTTGATTTAAGAAACTTTGATAGCAGAGAATACTGAATAGACCCATAATATAAATATTTGTGTGGATTGTTTTAAGGCATCCGATTGTGTACCCATATCCCTTCATTCTTTCTAAGTTAAATAAATGCAGCCATATATTTGATATACTTCAACAAATTAATTGGGACTTATTACGAATTCTTAACAGAAAATTCCCCGCGCTTCAGCCTTTTAATTAATTGTATTTTACTACTTTAAGGAGCCATCAATTCAATACAGCGTCCCGGTTGAAGGAAAAACCGGAATCATTCAAATTATGGGAAATACGAAATGATCCAAATTGAGGCAGTGTATGCCTAGGCTTTCTAAAACAATTTATAGAATTCATATAACCAAAACGTTCTACTATCTTAAAAGGTAAATTGCTATTGAGGTTTAGCCAAAGGGTTATCATTTATACAATAGTTTCGGTTTCTGAAATCTGAGTACAAAATTAATTATCAGGCGATCAGTAGTGACGGGTGTCGAGCCTACTCTTTTTTAGAATACATGATTCCATGTCTCATTTTTGTTGTACTATTATATTGACACTGTCGGGCATACAAAGCATTAATGGCTAAATGTTTCAATAAAACATAATTTACATGAAAGTGTCGTAGTGGGATTTTCTATAATGTATATAATACAAAACATATTGCTAATTATAACTGGACCTATTGTATTGTATATTCCATTGTTTCTAAGCTTAAGTAGTATGTTTACTTATATGGCGGCATTAAAAAAATAAATATTCTGAGTTTACAATTAATTAAAAGCGATCATTATTGTTATTAAATTACAGAAGAAGAAAAAAGAGATTAATAAAATCTTCTTTTTTCTCTAAGATTGTGAGTTTTGTACCCGTGACACATAATAAACCAAATATTGTGAATTCAAGAAAATTCTAACAAATTGAAAAATTAATTCTGGGAATTCTGTTTTAATCAACAAGCTTATGAATATTCTTTATTCTTTTCGTCGCACGCGCATTGAATACATTCGTCACAAAAACACAGAATTCATCCAAATCATGGAACATTTATGGATTAAAATTCTAACAAAACATAAAATTCTGAAAATTAATCAAATATAATCAGTGACCTCTGAGATTAAACTAACCCCTTTTAGTCAATTCATTACATGCTTAATAGAATGTTGAATAAAAAGGGGCCATTATAATTGACCGTATGACAGTTTAAAGGGATGGTGGTGAGATGGACATGCTTATTGTTAGGTTTGTTGACTGTACTGATTAGACAGCCTTCCCTTTAATTTAATCCACATTTCAACACAGATGTTGGCTTTTGTTACTGTCGATATTAAACTGCTAATAATAGACTCTCAAGTTAATAAAAAAAAATGACGAGGAAGTAGGTTTAAATAATCGCATGGAAGGGATCATAAAGAAAACAGAGTGTGTTTTGTAGTGTTTTACAATTTCGAACATTATGCGATAGTTCAATATTTTTTTCGTGTAACTGAAAAGTTCAAGATGTTGTTCACCCGAAGGAATGACTACTCACTCAAACAGCCAAGATAGGAAAAGAATGTTGAGTGATTTTTTCCCAGAAACAAGATCATCAAATAACGACAACAGTACATGGAACAGGTTGTTATATTTGACGAAATGGCCGATACCTTGTCAGGAATTATGCCATTTGTTAAATTGTTTAAGAAGCAAAGTTATTGATGCGGATTGTCTATTTGCAATGACAAGAAGAATCGTATTGATTTTCAAGAGTTGTTTTACGAAATCTCCTTAGCATCGTAGAAGCTTCAATGGTGATCATATCTTTCCGACAGTTATATGATTTTCTATTGAAAGTGGGAACCCTATTCCACTTTTTACGATATACTGTGAGCACCTTAGATATATCTTATAAACCGATCCTTTAGGATTTATATTCGATGTCTATTTTTTTTTGATTTTCAAAGATGTTCAATTACCATCCTATCAAAGGGGAAATCCCCATTGATTTTCAAAGCTTTTCGGTAATAACTTCCCGAGTTGTTCCCCTTTCTTACAAAACCCTGTAAGCACTTTAATTATGGTCAATCTTTTTGAAAATGTATGTGTTAAGCTTGTAACTGCTCGGATTGATGAGCGTATGTTTCATTGCCTGGTAACCTACGTTTTAAATTTGGACCATTATGCGAAAGTAGTTTTTTTGTTAAATACATGTATACAGTTCGTGATATTTTGCTGAATGTAGTAACCATTTATGGGGCCACATTCCAGATCTGAAAATAAGGCCATTTAGAGTTTCTTTTGATAAAATTTCGACCAGCATTGCTGAGTCCATATGGTGATATAGGTAATAATAATGTGGAAATCCTCAACAAATGAGCCCGTTCTTTATAGAGCTTATTTTCGGATATTTATATATGGACCGTAGGATTATTTTTCGTTTGAGACATTCTGCAAGTTATAATTTTAGAAAGATGTAAATCGTGTTATTTTGAGGTTTATGTGGTAGAGATTATCTAGTAAACAAGTGTAGCGATATGAGTGTGTTTAGATATTGTATCCGCCCCCACTTGTTAATAACTTCATGTACTTAAGACTTTACATCGAGAGCATGTCTAGTTTACCAACCCCAACAGGATTTTCTGACGCGAGCCCACATCAAAGCATTTATTTAGCGAATAACTTTCGGCAATCCCGAGATTTTCTCTAGATGATTTGCAAAAAATCAAGTCAAATTTCTCAAAGCCAAAACCAATAGGACTGTGCAGAGGGTTTAAACAACGGAATGTTTTTTATTTACGGTTATAACACGCGACTACGTTTAAACGTAAACTTTGTGTTAAGTGGACAAACAGAAGAGCGTCTTAACGCTAATATAATGGAAAATATTTCCTTTTCCCTTACTTTTTAATCATCACATTAACATTCTCGAGTCCCAGTTTCTTTCATCTACTGTTTTAGTCAACTATTTTCACGCACTTGTTAAATTCTCTGAAAAGACACCCATGACACAACAGCAATGTTTTAGAGGTATCTATTTCACGAAATGTTTTCTTCTTTCATCCTTGGTGTTTTGTTTGTGTCGTTGTTCGCCATGTTATCAGGTATAACTGCATCGAATGCATTAAACAGTTCATTTATCTTTGTTAGATTTACATATCCAGTTGCAATGTCTTGAATCAGTCCTAATATAAATCAAAAGTAGAGAACACTGTCTATAAAAAAAATTAGCAATAACAAGTGGTCTATGTATGTGAGGTAAATTAAAAGGTGTTTTGGGAGAGTTTAGGGTGGCTGATAAGTCTCTATTATTTATGTCGCCCTAAATAAACGCGAAAAAGCGATATTTTAACAGGTTAACATTGTGGACATGTGTTGTAGCGCTAAAATCCCACATTGCAGCGCTTTCTGGGCGATATTAAAAAGTCAATCCGGCACAATATTCCACATGAGATAGACAGTTTACAGTGAATGTATAGCTTATTTTACTAATCATATTTAAGTGGGGTAATTCAATATGCGCAGATGGCATTGATGTCTGAATTCAGACTAGAGAGTGTTGTCTTTAAGAAGAATTCGTAGTTTAGACGATATCGGTACAATAAAAGTATAGTTATGATGTTTCATCGAATCCTACAATCACAGTTTAGATGGTTAATTAAATCAGCAAATATATGTCACTGATGTTCTATCCTGGTGATTTAATTTTCAACTGGGATATCTGCGGCAACAGCTTTTTTGTCCGCAAATTGCTGCCCCTTATTTCCCTGAATCAAATCGTATATTGAAAGGTCATATATAAGTATAAAGTTTAAAAGCAGATTGAAAATAAATACATTCAGATAAATAACCGGATGACATCTATCTATCTATACTAATATTTGTGACTGTCGTTTGTTTGTCTGTCTGTCTGTTCAGGGTTGGCGGCTACAATAGGGCTGTCCGAGGCTGAAATTTAGTGTATACGGGTAACTCGGACCGGGGAGTAACATAGGCCAAGTGGCGCTGCACTACCACTTCCGGTTTCGGGGTTATACTGCTTTCGGTTCCGGACACAACTCGTACAGTGTTGGATCATCCGTTAGTATAATATAAATGTCATCAAGTATTAAATTGAGAAATTCCCAATCGCCCAGGTATGAGTTTAATTTAAAGTAGTACTCTTTATATTGTAAACAGATTTGTGACACTATTTATTGAGAATAATCGATACGTTAGTAACTTTTCTAAATGACAAAACAAATACACACTAACACTATTTATGGAATAACAATCACTGGTTTATTAACATGCAACGTTTCGACGATGATACTCTCGTCTTTATCATCATTTGCTTGATAAAGACAAGAGTATCATCATCGAAACGTTGCATGTTAATAAACCAGTGATTGGTATTCCATAAATAGTGTTAGTGTGTTACTGTTCAATAACTAAATGCCACTTAAAGAAGTTCTGACAAAACAAATAAGACAAATCCACTTGATCTATCAAGTACAATATATTCAAAAGTTGATTAACATGTCGTTTTCTGTTGTGACATCTATATATAGATACTAAAACAAAAGAAAGTCACTAAAGCAGATTTTGTATAACAAATAAGAAAACAAACGAGTCTTAACGGTAAATTGATCAATATATTCCAGTAAAGGAAACCGTCACTTAATATGCTGCTAAAGGTCATGAAATATGTATTCAACTTTTAAAGCATTAAAATGTCATATTTAATCATGGCCTTAAAACAATAACATGCCCAAGAAAGCACTGTAAATATTTTGTCGAGCAATAAGGCAATTAATAGACAAAATAAAACATATTTTCTATGCCTATCCGACATAAATAAATGATTAAAAGCATAAATGTTATTATTTTTTTCTAAAAGAACTTAACATTGATTTGTCTAGAAATTATTTAAATGCCAGCTTTCATTAAAACTCAAGCAATTTGATTGCAATGCATATTATTGAAGTATCTTAGAACAATATTCACAGTAATTCGTTATCTATTAAGCAAATTGAATTTTTTTTTTTGACAAGGTTTAGAGATATTAATGTGCTTGGCAATTACCCGAGTCAGTAAGTCTTAATAGAATTGCGTTTATTTTGAAACGCTTTAATAATAACGCCCGGTTGCTTTTTTTATTCTGAAATGTATAAATATAGCCTTGGATAACATTGTTTAATAAGAACTGTTGTCTATTAGTAAACGGTTGTTAGTAATATTTAATATGGAATGCTTTAGTGGGACGAATTAAGAGTATTTTGTAATACAGATATCTTTCGTCGAGAGACCATCAAAGATGTTAGAAATCAAAAATACATATGGAGTCGATCCAATCAGTAGGTTTATTGTAGACAGATATACCACGTACCGTGTTTCACTGTTTATACAAGCAATGTAGTTTTATGTAAACAATATTCTTTCCTCCAAGGGCTTGTTTGCCAACAGGGGGAAGTTTCCCGGGGAGGGGCGCTCGGGCGAAAATCCGTTCGCTAACACGCGGTTTTCATCAGGAACTATCGCCAGTTTCCACACTTCTTAATTATATCGCCAGTGAGACGTTAAACATCAAAGACCGCCATTAGGAATTATTTTGACATGTCATGGCTAATCGTTGATCAAATATTCTTATGATTAGTTTCCGCCATTGACGACTTCATTCCAACGCTAGAACGCTTCTCGTGATTGGTCAAGAGAGAAGCGCGTGCAATGTCTGGTGAAGAGATCAGACGTCATCAAGCCGTTGATAAAGTGTTTAGTTATGTGGGTAAGCTCAAGTAAACTGTGTCAAATAACTTCAACTATTTCTCCCATTTCTATCTTTCTTTCATCCATATCGCCGAAAGTGTCAACTACGCAACGCCTCATTACAATATGGCGTATTAATTTTCTACTAAATGTGTCCAAGGCTCAATTATTCGTGTTCAACACCTTAATGGACCAATGGCAATCAGTGTAGCGTAAACACATCTATGTTACATCTTGCTTTTTTCTTGCTGTGATGGCTGCTGTTAGAATCATCTAAACAGTAAAATAGATCTGGTATAATGTTTGAAACTAGCTGATCAAGTTCTTCTCAATTGGCTATGGTTTATGTTTTCAAACGAAACACAGCATTCAGTTGGTGTAGACTTCCCTGTGTATGTTATTACATCAACATGGGATACGTAGCGTTTTTACCGCCATTTCTGTTATGTTAAAACATTTCCCTTGGCTTTAAAACACAGATTGTTGACTTCTGCGCCTCTTTTCCCAGAATCCATAATAAACTTTATAATATACTCATTTCTGTATCGAGGCGGTTGTTATTACAATGAAAGCACTTTAGGGATCACCATTTCTAATCACAAATTTTTTCATCAAGGCGAGAAATGCTAAATATGGCGAAAATTTGAACAAAAAACACAAGCAGTTACACATCCACTTCTGCCTCGGATTTAAAAATTGAAATCAACACCATTAAGTTCAAGAGGCAAGAATTTTCAATTTTCGAACTATTTCTTTCATTTTTTACGAAACCATAATTTGAGCCACAAAGAAAGAAATCCGTCCATTTTTCTAGACTGTAAAAACACCCCAACCCGAGAATATTTGTATAAAGGCGAAAAACTTGTATTTTCTCTTAAAGTTTTTTAATGGAAGGGAAGAGTGGTATTTAGAATAGTGTTGTTATAAGCTATATGTAACCATATTATTTATTTGACATTTAATAATGCACCAGAGACAGACTTAATGACGTCTCGGAGTATATAGAAGCCTAAATATTGGTTTTTACTGTTCCCTTCTATTCACAGGCTTCTATTTCCTTCATAAATAAAACACTAACAAATCTTTGTAATAATCTCTTTTGTAGTTTTCTACCCTTCTTGGCGTTTGACCTCTTCTTTGTTTGTTTTGCCAAAATCAACATACACATATTTTTTCCATAAGAAATTGTAAAAAGAAACTGTAAAATTATCTATTCGACATTTTGAAAGTCTGTCACCTATTTCAAATTATCTCCTTTAAAAAAGCAATTCGCGACAATGGTAGAACTATATTTCGGCTCCCCCACATAGTTGGCTCCTACGGGCAACTGTCCCCCTGTAATTTGTCATTATCCTTTGTTAAAATGGAAAGAAAAACAGAATTGTAAAAATGTTGAGAGGTTGTAGGAAAATGGATGTCTTTAAAGTCGCGTATTTTCAGACATGCTGGAAACCATTTCATTGCTGAGAGTAGATTTCAAAGCGGCGCCAGGGTCGTTTAATAATACGGATATTTAAAACGACAACTATTCGCATTACGACTACAATGCCGATTTCTGTTAGGTATAACCCTTATATGTTTTCATAAAGCATTTCTTATTATGATAACAGATCTGAGAAAAAGCGATACTCATACAATAAAACAGCAAATGTCAACTAAACATTACCTTTGACATTTTGTCAGTATTAACACTTTAGTTCTGTAACCCACTTAGCCCTAATAAAAGTCCAGGCGACAAATACCGTCCACAAGGTATGTAAATGCTTTCTCATGTTTGCAAACAAAATTCCACAAAAACCGACAAAATGTCGAAAGAGAAAATTAGCGATTTTGTTGAAATTACTTGACACATTCTCAATGTTTTTCATCTCGGTTTAAAACAAACTTTGTGTATTTTGGTCACAAATACCTCATCACACCAACAAAGTCAACGTGGACGTGGTCATTTAATGTTAAATGTGTAACATACTTGCTGTTCTTCGAGAAAATAACAAAAAGCTTTATCCCCAGAATGCTCTAATTTTGATGATATATATTACAGTTGATGACAATTATGGGAGATATGATAAAGAGTTGACAGTTTTTGCTATAATAGTTTTCCTCCCATTGCTAACGATCCCTACGCGCAAGCGAATTATTGAAATAAAATTGAACCATCTGTTATCCCGAAATGACCTAGTTTGTGTCGAGTGGACGTTAAACCCCATTTCTCTCTCTCTTTCTCTCTCTCTCTCTCTCTCTGGCGGTTTCAGTTATCGTCGGAGAGAAAGAAATCTGTTAAAAAATGATATACAGCGTTCATTTTTGGGATTATATTTATCTTTATTGATATGTCTCTTTGTAACTAAACCAAACCCTGCAGATGCTACAATAATCACAAAGGTTTATGAATATAATAATACTGTAATATTGAGAGTATTTTTTGACGGAACAACCCAGTTGTTGGTGTGTATATTTTTAGTTGCCTGGCAATTTTTGTTTCTAATTTAGTTATCATATTAGTCAACAACTATCAGTATCTACTAAGTGGAAACTGCTTACCTATCAAACACAAGCCTCTACCAATTTCAATCGCTTGATTTCTATCTGGAAATCGGAAACTCCATTCTGTAGAGGGTGTAGACAGGCATGTCCTGACCACTAAGTGTAAAAGAGGAGTGGGGTGTGACGATTGGACAGGGTTGCGAAGAATACGGTACTAATCTGAAAAGTAGACAATACTAATGGTGCTTCTTCATCTAAGAATTAATTACGAAGATCTACAGAACAAGGTAACCATTGAGGTCGGACCGTAGCGAAAATGAACACTATAATTATTTTTTATTGTGAAATTCTTTGAAAATATTGACCTGTTATTGGATGAACCGTAACGACTAGTTATAAGGATGGACCTTCTCGAGAGTTTTGTCTTCTCAGATTATTACGATAAATAGTGATAAAACTTGCCAGATGTTCAGTAACATCGAGTGCAGTGAAATATCGAATATAAAACGAAAGAAAACGGATTGAAAAACATCTGATTTTAACCAGATTACAGAAAGAAATGTTAGCCGCAGTGGCACAGTTAAAATGCACTGACTCACTAACCAGGAGGTCCCGGCTTTGTTTCTTGGATTTTCCGGTGAGTTCCGCATGTCTATGGTAGAGGAAGGAATGTCTGGCAAGGAACAAAATCTATTCATTCGGATGGGGCGAAAGACCGAGGTCTCGTGCACATGTTGTGTTCTCGTAAATGAACTCGTGATAGCTGGAATTTTAAAATAGGCTCTGTCGCCGCTGGACGGGCAAAATTTCCCTCATTGCACACTGCATGGCGTATGACCGTCTTCGTTATCCCGGCCGATGCAATAAAGTAGGACGTGAAACCACATTTCAGTTTACAAAACCGGTAAATCACTCCCGATTCCAAAGTTTCATTAAATCAAACCGTTTAGGTTTCTTGGTGCGATAAGATAATTAAGGTCATTCAAAACCAACCACCGAAAATGTCCTAAATGATAAATCTATTTTCCTACTAAGTTAAACAATTTATAACCGTTTTAAATATAATCAACGCGAAAACAGAACAATATTGTAAAGTCATTTGACATTTGTAATAATAGTGATGATATTGGTGTAAATATTATGAAAACTTCCACCCAACTGTGCTTTATTGACAAAATATGGCATAATATATTTCACAGCTTACTAACTGCTGTGTGTAAGTTTATTTAAGCATTTCTACCGTGACTGATAAAATATATTCCATATACATTACTCATTAATGAATTATTAAATCGAGCTTTGCTTTAAAACATCCCTTAAGCATAACGGTAAAAAGTGTCTTTATTATATAGCGTTGGTCCGTATCGCTGGAATTATTATTACTAAAAGAAATAAAACCCAAATTTATAAATAAAAACATCCTGCCATGTGCGAGAAAGAAAAACAAATACATTACCCCGAAGAAGTTGTAGTTACACGACAATATACATGATGTGTTATTTACCAACCCTTGCGTTGTATCAGCATGTTTTCATGGAACACGAGTGTGTAACAGACATCAGCAGGCCTGTGAAATATACATTAAGGCCCTAAAACTAATTGGTCTATTAGTATTTAAAGGTTTTGCCATATGGCTTATTATAATAATTCATATAACATATCAACCAGTGGATAGTTAAATATATAGAAAGGTTTGTTTTACGGTCATGAGAAAATTAGAAGAATGCTTGGATGTGATCCTTATGAATGAAAAAAGGCAGCAGTTCTCTAATTTATGTACGTAAAGTTGTTCCCCAGAGTACAAAAAGGAGAGTTCATGTCAAGGGCAACTCCATTGCTTGGGTCATTCTAAACTTTATTCTATCTTTGCATTCAGGAGTGGGTGGATGGATGGAAGTATTTCAGACGGAATGCAAACTGCCAAATTGAACTTGAACTAAAGAATATATACGAAAGAATTTCATTTTTCTATCGTCATGTTGAATTATTTAAAAGCTGCGTTACGTGTTCAGGTTTGGTCTAAGTGGTTAATTACTTTTAACATGACAAGCCTTATCTTTCGATGACGACATAACAAAAACTGGTTTATTTTAAGAATTCAAATTTTCACAGTTTCTATTTGAAAGGCGCGGATTAAACTAGATACAACAGATTATGGCCTAATAGCACTTCTTTTAATTAATTATAACAATGAAACGTCTTTTATTTCATAACGAGTTGTTTACCTTTAATACGGATATTCGAACGTATTGTCTATAGCCTACTGGATACAGGAAGCCGCTGTGGCTCGGTGAGTAAGGCATTGGCTCTCTAACATGGAGGTCCCGTGTTCAGTCCTAGTGTTCGCCGAGAAAGTTCATCGGAATTAGCCGACGTAGTTCCCCCTTGTCAGTGGTGCAAGGGACACCGTATAGTCGTTCGGATGGGACACGTAAAATATCCCATGGCAGTTTGAATTAGATATAGGAGTAGGCGTATGTCCGTCTTCATTAGCCCCGTCGAAGCAGAACAGTAGGCCGTTCAGCCCCATTTCATTTTATTTTATTTTCTATTGTATACACACACTGACGTGTCTGCTTTATTTTGGATATTCCACATTAATCGCTTGCTTTTCTAATTGGGATTGGCTTCTTACCATTCCAACCACATTTATACAAGGTTTGTTCCATCAATTGATTCGGATAGGAAACGCCATACAAATGATTAAAATATCAAAGTAGGCTACTATTGGATTTAGATTTCAATGTCACTTGATTTTGGTCTATATATCAGGAACCGAAAAAAGGACCCATCTACGTGAAGTTGATTTCTCCGAAGGCCTAATACTTAATCGAATAGAAATGTCGTAGCTTCAGATTATGGAAAAATATGCGGATGAATGCAGATAATGCCAATATTCCCAGGAATACTTTTATCAAAGGCACAATAAACCAGGTCGTCCACATATCTTCAAAATCATAAATATTGTTTTAATGTAGGCCTAACGACCGTTATTATGTAATTTTCGAGAAAATTGGTCTGATCTGTATTAATGTTACTTTATTTGTCTAAGACAATGCAAAATTAATTTATTTATTTTTCAAAGTTAGAATAGACCGTTTTGAATAATCTTTGGGCCATAAAAGTAGCATACCTTTGCTTGTGTATGACATAATATTAAAGATAACCCCGCGTTGCTTTACTGAAAGACCCATCCATGCTACTAATTTAGGTCTACTGCATGCAGTTTGTTTTTATAAATGATAATGCTGATCAGGGTGGGTAATTTTTATAGGTAAATGTTTACTTAACAACAATCACCTTGTGACATATATACATATTATAGAAACTATTTCACCATTTATCAATGACTGAATGTGTATTTGTTTTTCCACAGGTGCCTAACACAAGGGGAGGTTACTCTGAGAAGATGATATGATGTAGCATGACCATCCAGTCATTTTCAGATCTACATCATAAGAAAAACATGACAGCTTAGCGGAAATCAATGTTACGTTAAAGGCCAGACGATGGAACGATATTAATTTATGTATTCTGCCAATTTATTCATCCAACGTGCTACATATTGCGCACATTACACCAACTTTGGCTCAAACATATGTGAAATCGGCGAGTATTGGATGAAAAGCCACCCAGAAAGTTGCTGATCGGCTTACTAAAATGAAGTAAATGTTTAAGGTCACGAATTGTTAAAATAAATATTATGTCGTTTATACCAGTATTGTTTGCTTTTGTTCCTCCGTCTTGCCTTTTGAGCACGAATGGTTTTCAGCTGTGAACAGCTCGTCAAGGCGCTACCAACATCATGCCTCTTCTATGTAAACTGACGATTGTTTTCTTTTTCGCCAATAACCACATGATTCCCAAGTATCATTTCGCAGCGAGTGTGTCTTGCACATTGGATCAAAGTGATGGCGGAACGGTTAGTAGGCAAATCACCTTTACCAGCGAAAAGCATCAGGAAATCAGCCTCTGATTGTTTTCTTTCTTTGTCTTGGGAAATGAGGCGAGGAAATAGCCGTGAGTTTGGTAAACTAAGCACACACAGATTTTGTCCATATTGTTAGTTTCACACCCTAACTGATGGCCGCCGTCTTTACTCGTCTCTCTACCAACACTTGTAGTAGAATCGTTTGATGTTGGATGTATCACACGCTATGGCTATTCACCCCACCCCTCATTATAAATACGACTTGTTCACGATACACTAGATTATTTATTTTCTCTTCTTTACTATTTATCCACTGACCTTCTCTTGTTTTATTTTTTTTTTATTTGACGATTATAAATACATCTCTATTTGGTCATTATACTTAAAGGAGCATTATAATGGGTTTCTCTTTGAAGAATTTAATTCGATATTATTTCAGGAATAACCTAAATATAGACTGACCAGCAGGGTATGCTTACTTTCTAGAACATTTGATACCACTTCTGATTGATTTGGAACGTTAACATAGTTAACAAATTTCCATATACCAATTTTAAAAATGACATTTCAGACTCTCGTCAACTAAATCCGATATTCCTGCCTGCACCAGAAATGAATTAAGTTCAAAATAATAAAGCAAAGTATCATTACTTTCTAGAACATTTGATACCACTTCTGATTGATTTGGAATGTAAATATGGATAACAAATTTCCTTGTACAAATGTTATAAATAATATTTCAGACTCTCGTCAGATAAATCCGATATTCCGGCCTCCGCCTGAAATGAATCAAGTTCAAAATAATAAAGCCATACATCTATTGTAAAATGAGAGAAGTTTTATTTTCACAATACACACTTTATGATGAAAGCTTAAATGGAGAAGTACGGGAGTGGGCTCACCAATGAATAGTTGAATTATATTTCCCGCATTGGGAAATCTAGCGGATAACCAGAATGTAGATAGATCCAAGGATTCCATATAACTGTAATCCAGCAATATTATAGAATATTTTGAATGCAAAAACCGGCTGTCATTCTAAGGAAAAATTTGTCGAATGTGACATTTTTATTAGCAAAATGGTAAAACTGCATACTGATTTTAAATTCTTCTTAATCAAACACGAGAATTTTTAAAAGGTTTAAAATATCTGTTTGGCCATGTACAATTTTTTTTTACACTTATTGTACAAATAAATCGAAAACGAATCAAAAGTAATGTCTCATTTTAAAGGAGCTAAGTCGCTATTCTTTGGTACTCAGGAATGGACACAAATGGGTCTCAACGCATATAATAGTGTATTATGATTGTATATAAACTGATTTACATTCAATCGTTTCTGTTTTACTGTAATTTATGTTTGGCGAAATAAGCAAATGGCAGTGTTTGGTGTCTGGTTATTCCAGTCTACATCGGTAGTATTCTCCTTTGGGGTATGTTTAGTCTCGTTCATCGAGTCGCTTAATTACAAATGGCACTCGAAAGCATTTTGGCACGCAATTCGTGTGCCAATTTTAAATTTTTATTTTGTCTTAAATATTGGATATCAGAAGCCCGTTTTTTCGCGGTAAGATAACAACATCAATGTTGATTTGAATTGGCCAATAAGTCGTGTTTGCAATGTCGAAGACTGTGGATGATATTAAGCTAGCGATTTGCCTCCTTTAATAAGACTGCTATGCTAGCCTTATGAATGCCCCGGTATAGATTAAATCAGTCCTACTAGGAGCTAACTGGTTAGGGTTAAGGTTGGAAACAATCTGATTAAAACACAGATTCTATTTTGTTTCGTTTTTTATGGTTTAAAATTTCGTTTTACTTGTCTTTAATACACTAGGATCTGGAAGAGTTGTTATATTACCCGCTTTCTTGTTGATGTGAGGGATTAGCCAATGAAACGGTTTGTTACAGCGAGTTCTTGACGTGCAATGTACGGAAATGTGGGTATCCCACTCGAATCAATAAAGTTGATTGATTAATCAAATGTCTGACGTCATAGGGTCAAAAGTCGCCAATGTGATCCCTGACGCGATCTCCCACAACAACTGGTGAGATCTTCATATAGTAGAGGCCATCGAAAGTATAAAAACGAAACGAAATATAGATCTGAATTTTAATCAGATTGGGTTGGAAACCTCTGTGACTGGAGTAACGTACACTCGAATGTCTTAGTTCTGAGGCTCTGAAACATAGTTCATTAATTAATACTAGCAGGATACCCGGCTTCGCTCGGGGGTCATAACTCCGAAAACGGAAGTGGTAGACTAACGCCACCTGGCCTATGTTACTCCCCGGTCCGAGCTACCCCTATACCCCAAATTTCAGACTCGGGGCAGACATAGGGTAGCCGCCAACGCCGAACAGACCGGCTTCGCTCGGGGGTCATAACTCCGAAACCGGAAGTGGTAGACTAACGCCACCTGGCCTATGTTACTCCCCGGTCCGAGCTACCCCTATACCCCAAATTTCAGACTCGGGGCAGACCTAGTGTAGCCGCCAACCCCGAACAGACAGACAGAAAGACAGACAGACAGACAAACGACAGTCACAAATATATATATAGATTATCACCTCACTTTATTTAAACGATATTAAACCAGATATACCTTTTAAAAATGATATTGTAACAAAATAAGCATAAATGTATTAATATCGATATTATAAAACGATATCAATTATTGTCTTTAGTAAATGTACTCTTTAATAGAAATTGCAAATGTTATGCATCTTAAAGGCAATAAATACATCATTAAATAAAGACATGTGTGGGCTTACTCGGTTAATCAAGATAAAACAGATTATTATCAACAATAAAATAAAGAATTTAACTCCTGGTTATATTTATCTCCATCACATCGCATCTTCAGAAAAAAAACACAGCATAAAAAAACAAACAGTGATAAACTTGACATCAATTTAAATATACATTATATACGAATCTGATTTTATAAATTTTTCAGTGAAGTCATCCGAGTACATTGTACACATGTACATATTTAAAACTGTAGGGTTTAAGATGGCATCTTAGATCAAATCTTCAACTTAGAAATAGTCAACCACTAATTTCTAAAAAAAATTAAATCTGTGACAAGGCTTAAAGTTTTTAACTATAATGATAAGCGTGTGTGCCTTGAAACTTAAAAAAACCTAAACGATCTGTAAGATAGATAAAACAGTTGGACAGCTTTATATGTCAAATCTAATATTATTTATAATTTTATCGTAAAAGAAATATTTTCTCGTGCGACATGGTGGTCGATTTTTTTTAAAGATAAGACAATTCAAGAAATTAGTTTTGATGGTGTAATCTTGTGGGTGGTGGGGGCTTGATATATTTACTTGCTTCAGTAAAGGGAATATACATGTATCTAAAGTCTAGAAAGGACAGTTCATTCGTGTCTATCAATGTTGATATATTAGTATAACTCATTGATCTATTGTAAAAGGTATATTACCTCCCTTTGTAGACTGAACATTATCAGTTCAATTTTATAACAGTCCTGTACTGAGAGAGAGAGAGAGAGAGAGAGTAGGTCGTTTCGGGACTAACATAAAGTTAGTCTTTGCAGTAATTCGCATAGGCATCTTAAGCAGTGGGACGAGACCCGGAGAAAACCCAACAAGGTTGGACAGACAACCCTACTCCATGTCGGGGGAAAACCCAACCAGGTTGGACAGAAAACGCTACTCGGGGGTCACGGTGGCTGAGTGGGTAGCCTGGAGGTCGAGTGTTCGATCCCTGCATTGGCCGAGAAAGTTCATCCAGATTTTCCGACGTTTTTCCCCCTTGTCAGTGATGCAGGACGGAGGGCCTGGCAAGGACAGCCATCTAGTCGTTCGGACGGGACAAAAACCGAAGCCCCGTGTACAAATTTTAATGTTCGCTGCACGTAAAAGATCCCTTGACAGTTAAAATTCAATATAAAAGTAGGTCGTACTTCCGCTGTCCGTGCAAAATTTCCCTCATGGCACACTGTATGGCGTATGCCCGTCTTCATTAGACCAGTTCGAAGCAGAACAGTAGGACGTTAAACCCCATTTCATTTCATTTCTACTCCATGTCACGTCAAGTACAAGCAGAGAATCGAAACAATGGTAGACTTTATGATCTAAAGCCACCCACCCCGTTCAATATTATAAGTGTCCTGTACAAGGTAGACACTTTAATATTATTTGCTTCCAGTTCGCTGAAAGATGTAATTAATTTTCAGAATTTATTTTGTCGATGCAGCATTTAGCAGTGATCACTCTGGAGATTGTTTCAAATCTGCCTACATTGACTTGCACATGCATCCTTTTATTCCGTAAGTTGCAGTAAATGTCGCACGTGTTTACTTGGGCATACATCCTTTTGAAAAAACCCAATGGTGCAAAATGCACTTTGAAGCAATATTTTCCGGAAATCTTGGTAAAAATCATGATTCGTTAAATATAGGCCGTAAAAAGAGTAACTACTTGTTAGAAGCGTTAAAGTTGTCACATTAAATATTTTGTTTGTGGCAAGGATTAGTGTGACAATCTTAAACATTGCCTCGCGAAGATGAGGATCTACATGAAATAAATTAAGTCTGAAACAATTAAGTCTGGAAATCAACGATATACAAGAAATAATTAAGTCTGGAAGTCAGCGATATACAAGAAATAATCGAATCTGAAATTCTGCGATATACAAGAAATAATTGAATCTGGAAATCAACGGCATAAGTGAAATATTAAACTTTGGTAGTAAACTACATGTATATAGTAAATCCAGCGGTGACGCCAGGAAATGACGCCGCTTGT